ACAGAAGCGTAAATCCGACCGTGCAACCTCCACGTGGTACGCTTTGGATAACGTTAATGCCGGTGGTAATTGAATTTTTCATTTTAGACTTGATTTAAGTCTTCGAGATATAGAGAAAAAAAAATCTTATCGATTCGGCCGATTGTACATGTAATTGGGATACTTTTTACTTGTAAAAATTGTAGAGTTCATAAAAATGTTAACGTTTTTTCATTAAGTTGCATTGATTTAAATGAAAAAGGGAAAAAGTGCAATTTTTACTTGATTTTAAAGTAATGATTACACTTTAACAATGGATATTAATTGAAAAAGCAATTAGTACATGTTAAAGTGCCGACTTTTCTCTTTAAATTGCTTTTTTAATGATCATTGTGCGATAATTTTTTCACTAGTTATGAACGCTCAAAGTCAATAGATCGATTTTACTTCAGTAGTGAATAACTCGGCGAAAAAAAATCGTAGGACATTCATTAAAAAAGCAAATTAAAGATAAAACTCTGCTCTTTAAAATCCAATTAACGAAATTGTGCTACAATTTTTTTTTCTTCGGCATTCTTTGACAAACTTTTGAAAAATTTAGTCAATCGACGGACGTTGCTTTTTCATAATGTAACTTCGTAACAAATGAAAAGAATTGGACTTGACTAAAAAATTCTAAAACTAGAAACTTCAAGCTTTGTAACGCTTTTTTATTGATCTCAATCCGATTATATGCGACAAAGTTGCAGCCACTTGAAAATTGTCTTTTTTGTAGAAGGAAGAAAGTGGCCCTTTAATTTTTTTGCGTAGTGTATATAATCTTTCAAAATTCATAAGAAACAATAATGTATAGGCGACTTCCCTAATGCCCAAACAGCCATAGAAGAAGAAGAAGAAGTATAATGACACTCCTTTGACAAATGCATTCAAATATAGTAGATTCTTGTGTGTGTATCCCTATATTACTGTTCACAATTATCCATACTAGTTTTTGACAGGTATTTGACGTTAAATTTTCCAGAGTGCAACATTATATAGCGTAGCACTCTTTTATTTATAAAAAAGTAAAGCTGCAAAATTCTTCATGATACTTCTGGATAGTTGAATCTATAAAATACACACACACACATATTTTATAACCCAGACAGCACAAAACGTCCTCAGGATCATCCTGAATATGTCCAGGATGGTTCAGGATATTTGTAGGATGTTTTAAGATATTATTATAAATATATTTTATGAAAATTTAATATGCATACATGATTACTTTCGGTTATGTAGGCTATTTAATATAATTTAGAAATTTTAAGTATTGTAATAAGTATTAATGTCCTATAAATGTCCATTGGATAACCCCTGGATGTCTGTAGGATACCTGCCCTGTCTATTATATTGAATGTCCTTTGGATTTCCAGAGGACATATACATGTGCAATTAACTGTTAACATTAATTTCGTTTAATATTAATAATTGAATTTGATGCGCACATTTTCACATATTCAAAATTATTATTTATTTAATAATTTATGAGAAATGTTACTATGCGCAACATTCCAAAAACTTTACAAAAAATAATATTCAACCGCTAGTTCGTTTGTTTACCGCTATGCAACGCGCAAACTCGTATTTGAGATTTGGTCATGAGAATTATATAAAGCTTGCAAAGAGCAACTAACAGGAAATTAAAAATATAATTATTTTTTATCAGTTCAATTTCTGATGCAATCCCAACATAGGGAATTCAGATATTGGATTGTTTTGAAAATATTACACGACTCAAACCCGGAAGCCAAACCTAAAATATTCATGTACAGCACGAAAACCTCAAATATTAAAGAACGTGAACTATTTTTAGTATTAGATTTTTAGTATTGGCAGTAAATAACAGAACGCAATCTTAATTTATATTTAAATTTTAGAATTTGTTCCTTTTAACGTATGAAAAATATCCCTAACATATCCTATAGAAATCCTTAAGATGTTCCACAGGATCTCCCTGGATTCTCCAGAGGCTAGTGTACGGCTATCATTTACTCTTCCTCAGGACATCCAGAGGAGATCCGAGGATTAAAATAGGATATCCTCAGGATATCCTACATGTATGTCCTGGATGCCCTTTGGACGTCCTAAGGACATCCTTGTGCTGTCTGGGTAGGTAAGGTACAAAGAATGAACAGTGCGATCGGAAAAGTAAAAGTCTTGTCGGTCGACTCGTTAATTATGTATGAATGAGAATACCCGTCCGACAAGTTTTCCGCTGACAATAAGTGGAAAAGTTCCGATGATTGCTTCGCTGATCGCGCGCGATTCCTGATCACGATCCGTTCGTTCTAAAACGATATTTCATAGAACGTGATCATTTGGCATGCAAAGAAAAAATATTGCAATTTCATCTAGTTATTGTTTTATTATCAAAAATGTATAGATTTTTTATATAACTGCCTCAAGAATAACAAAATAAATATTTTATCGTAAATTTACTGTTTTATTATCGACAATGCAATAATTTACTTACCTACTCAGACAGCACAAAACGTCTTCAGGATCATCCTGAATATGTCTAGGATGGTTCAGGATATTTGTAGGATGTTTTAAGATATTATTATAAATATATTTTATGAAAATTTAATATGCATACATGATTACTTTCGGTTATGTAGGCTATTTAATATAATTTAGAAATTTTAAGTATTGTAATAAGTATTAATGTCCTATAAATGTCCCCTGGATAACCCCTGGATGTCTGTAGGATATCTGCCCTGTCTATTATATTGGATGTCCTTTGGATTTCCAGAGGATATATACATGTGCAATTAATTGTTAACATTAATTTCGTTTAATATTAATAATTGAATTTGTTGCGCACATTTTCATATATTCAAAATTATTATTTATTTAATATTTCATGAGAAATGTTACTATGCGCAACATTCCAAAAACTTTACAAAAAATAGTATTCAACCGCTAGTTCGTTTGTTTACCGCTATGCGACGCGCGAACTCGTATTTGAGATTTGGTCATGAGAATTATATAAAGCTTGCAAAGAGCAACTAACAGGAAATTAAAAATATAATTATTTTTTATCAGTTCAATTTCTGATGCAATCCCAACATAGGGAATTCAGATATTGGATTGTTTTGAAATTATTAAAACCCGGAAGCCCGGAAGCCAAATCTAAAATATTCATGTACAGCACGAAAACCTCAAATATTAAAAAACGTGAACTATATTTAGTATTAGATTTTTAGTATTGGCAGTAAATAATAGAACGCAATCTTAATTTATATTTAAATTTTAGAATTTGTTCTTTTTAACGTGTGAAAAATATCCCTAACATATCCTATAGAAATCCTTAAGATGTTCCACAGGATCTCCCTGGATTCTCCAGAGGCTAGTGTACGGCTATCATTTACTCTTCCTCAGGACATCCAGAGGAGATCCGAGGATTAAAATAGGATATCCTCAGGATATCCTACATGTATGTCCTGGATGCCCTTTGGACGTCCTAAGGACATCCTTGTGCTGTCTGGGAATAAACATATTATAGAATACACACATCTTTTTCTTATAAATATATGTATTGCGATGTTTTGTTCTGTTTTTACACGTAGCATAAATTACTTTTGTAATGTTTTATTTTTTAGTTCGTTTGTTTACCGCTATGCGACGCGCGAACTCGTATTTGAGATTTGGTCATGAGAATTATATAAAGCTTGCAAAGAGCAACTAACAGGAAATTAAAAATATAATTATTTTTTATCAGTTCAATTTTTCTGATGCAATCCCAACATAGGGAATTCAGATATTGGATTGTTTTGAAAATATTACACGACTTAAACCCGGAAGCCAAACCTAAAATATTTATGTACAGCACGAAAACCTCAAATATTAAAGAACGTGAACTATTTTTAGTATTAGATTTTTAGTATTGGCAGTAAATAACAGAACGCAATCTTAATTTATATTTAAATTTTAGAATTTGTTCTTTTTAACGTGTGAAAAATATCCCTAACATATCCTATAGAAATCCTTAAGGTGTTCCACAGGATCTCCCTGGATTCTCTAGAGGCTAGTGTACGGCTATCATTTATTCTTCCTCAGGACATCCAGAGGAGATCCGAGGATTAAAATAGGATATCCTCAGGATATCCTACATGTATGTCCTGGATGCCCTTTGGACGTCCTAAGGACATCCTTGTGCTGTCTGGGAACTATCCACAAGTATTATGAAAAATTTTGCAACTTCACTTTTTTATAAATGAAAGTGTATGAACACTACATTCTGGCATTTTGCAAACTTAACCTATACCTGTCAAAAGCAAGTATGGATGCGAGCAGTAAGGGCCTCAGCACAATAAAAGGAATAAGAAACAGGGAATAGAGAACAGAGAACAACCGCATTGGAGGGAATGCGCGCACAACACTTGTGTGAGCATTCCCTCCACTGCGGTTGTTCTCTGTTCTCTATTCCCTGTTTCTTATTCCTTTTATTGTGCTGAGGCCCTAACCAGAGAGTCCGTTGCCGCCCACGGACGGGAACGAACGTGTTTAGACACGTTACGCGTGTGTCCTTTGGACTTTATTTTTGAGTTTCTTCCTTTCCTTTAGAGGAATCTTTCCATTTGTTACTCTCATTTGTTACTCCCAACCTGTTTTTGGCCGGATTATACCGATCCAATTAGATCGGATGTGGCCACGATAAGAAAGAAGAAGAAGAAGAAGGGTCCCGCGGCTCACGGCTCAGCAATGGAAGGGGTAACGCACACAAGCGCGAACCGCGTACATGTGCCACATAATGGCATTATGAACAAAAGCATTGTAATCCTAGTGTTAAACTTTAACGGTTCCTGCATAAATTAACAGTTACGGCCTGCATAAACCAGCCTTTAAGGTTACGGACGAAGTTTACGGTTAGTACTTAACGTAACGCGTTACGGAAGAACTTGTGCGGTGGCCCTTATGGAAAAGCTTGTGCGGTGGCCCTTATGCCGGGATTACGATGAACTTGACATAACGGGACGCGACGGGACGTGAAGTAAGGGCCACCGCTGATTCTAAAACTAAACTCGTACGTAATCTTAAACTTCAGTCAACGCACAAACAAAATTGTAACGTAGTATGCTTTTGTTACGTTACGATTTTCTCTGTGCGTTGACTGAAGTTTAAGATTACGTATGAGTTTAGGTTTAGGTTTAGGTTTAGGATCAGTACTTAACGTAACGTAATGCATTACGGAAAAGCTTGTGCGATGGCCCTAACGTAACGTGAACTTAACGCTTGAGGTACAACTGTCGAATTACGATCGGCGTAACGTGCCGTGAAGCACTGCGTTTGACAGCTGTGGTGTAGAAGTTCGTTTTTGTTGTCATTCTCGAAATGAATTCTGCTGTGAGGCATTAAAACTGTATTCAAACTGTAATACACGCGTTACACCATAAATTCCTTAAGAATATATATTAATGTTTTTACATTAAATAAATATCTTATATAAGTAAAAGAGTAATCACGTATGCACATTTTTTAAATTTTCATATGAATATTTGTAAAAAAGTTCAAAACATTCTACCAATGTTTTGCAGGATTTTTTTTGGACATATTCAAAATGATCCTGACAACATAGTGTGCTGTTTGGAAAAATATCCAATTCATATTTAGATTGCATAAAAAATATACGGATTCACGAAAACAAGTTTTCTATATCATTTATGTAATGATTTCACATTATATTTGTAGTGATTAATGTAAATTTCTTTTTTCTAGTTAAGAAAACCCAGGAGAAGATATAAATGGTAATATATATTGTATTTAAATCAGTAAGGTAAATACTCTATTCGCTACAAAACCATACAAAATGAGATTTTCTTGCAGTAAAACTCGTGCTATTTTTTTTTCTTTCTATTCATGATTTGTAAACTTATTCAGCAACAAGGCAAACTTGAATCTGACAACAAATTAAAACATTTAAACAATAAAAATAAAATATAGTTACCTATGTTATATTATGGCTGCTTTCTCATATTCATTGTCAGTATTGAAAATCTAGTGTACATGACATAAACTATAGATTTTCTACTGGCAGTGAATATAGGAATGCAACCTATATTTAATACAGTTAAGAGAAAAACTTCACACCAAAAATATAATATACCTCCTTTACAAATGTTATAATTATCAATTATTAATTATACCTTTATTATCAAAAATGTATTATTATCCACAAGATGTTAAATCAAAACTAATAAGTGGTATTATATATTATTATAAGTGGTTTTATATATCTAAGTATACGTGGAAATGTTACATCCACTTTACTAAAATTGTAAATTGTAAAACATATATTTAAATTTATTTATTAAGAGATAGAAAAAATAATGCAAAACATTTATTTTTGATAAATTTCTTGTTAATATATAATTAACATATAAGAATAATACTTGCGCTAATAAGTATCATAGAGAAATAGTATTAAGAGATGTTTCAATTATTTTTATATTTAATAAAAATTCTTGTTATTATTAATCTTTGTAATTATAAATGTCAATGAATATTGCAAAATATATAGAACTTAGTAAAAAAATTCGATTTATGTACTTTTTTAATATCTCTATGGAGAAACATCCATATTTTCCCCAGTTAAAACAGCTGAAACAATTAAACAAACTTTAAATATGTAGGAGAGATAAATTACACATAATATTTACATTTACTTACAGAATTCATTGAACATAAAATCATCTTGATATTCTTTGAGAAATTGCGTAGATCTATTTTCATCAATAAATAAAGAATAGACACGTTTTACGTCTTCAATACTGACCTGAATATAAATTAAAGAGAAGAGAGAGAGATTACAATAATATCACTAAATACATAATGTGGTAAATTGTATCACATATACTATTTACTTCTGTAGTCTTTCTTCGGCGACTAACTAGAGAAGCTGTCGTAATTAATTGTATCGCGTATCTTAGTGACGTTTCCAAAGCGATCCTCGTTAACACTGTCAAGGCATCATCAGCCATTTCACAATCTTCTTCCTCGCATCTTATTTTCAAAATTTCCTTCAGTTCTTTCTCTTGATATGGGCTTGTTGGAACAATAATCATACGATCCAATAAATCAATCGGAATACCATGAGGACTCTTATAATTTGTGCCTCTGATTCTCGTAATACCTAAGTGATTATGAAATATTATATAACAGTTTTGATAATATAGTTCATTTTTGCTATTTTTTTTTTGTACCTCTGTTTGTTGCCATGATCACAACTGGAGCCATTTCATTCTCCAATGCTCGATTAAGAAACGAAAAACACTCGATATCCAACATATGTACCTCATCGACAAACAATACACCTGGCACGATTTCTGCCTTACCTTCCTCCCGCCATTCGGCAACTTTAGCGTTTATTTGATCTCGTACTTCTGATTTAATCTCTCCAGTATCTCCGGAGAACAGCGCTAAGAATCCGTGAGTTCTGCTATTTATTACATCAATTTCATGTAAAGTCACTGTGTGAACAACTTCCTTGCGCTTTTGCAATTCACCTTCGGGACATTGTACGAAACGCGTTTGTGAACCAGTTGCGTCATAATCTCGAGCTCTAGTAAAGGAACGTCCAAGTCTATTGATCTTCCCTGTTGCTTTATCGATTGTTATAACATCGCCAGCTTGTACCTAAAAATAATGCAAAATCATAATGAAACTCAATTATCTATAATATAAATATATATAAATATAAAAAAAAATATATATAATATAATATATATAAAAATTATTTAATATATAAATGCACAAACTTTTTCTTTCATTAAGCAATCAATCATTTTATTTCCTAAATCATATATTGTTTCCATCTCAGTTGTTTTTAATGTTAATTTGCCAACTTTTACTCCAACCCCAGTTGCTGGCCTATCGACTTGGATCTCTACAACTTCACCTTCTATAATTTCTGTCTCTTCTTTGATTCTGACTCCGATAGATTTTCTAATGGCCTGAGTTAAAGCTTCTGTTTTACTCATTTCTAAAGAATAAATTTCAGAACCAGCCATTGATGTGAAAGGGGTATCTATGCCTAGGGCTTGTGCCATTCCCATAGCAATAGCTGTTTTTCCTGTGCCAGGTTGTCCAGCTAACAAAACCGCACGACCTGCTATTTTGCCATCTTTTATCATCTCTAGAATAACACCAGCAGCCCGACGTGCCATAAGCTGGCCAACCATACCTTGGGATACCTAATATAATATAGTATATAATAATTACAAAATTTAAATTACTTTATTATTTATAATTAATAAAAGTGGTTTTGCACATAAATAATTACATTACGAGGCTCTAAACTATCATTTAGTCCTAAACCTCTAATGTGAGAATGAGCACCAATACGCTCTATTTTAGTAATTTCACGAACATCTTGGACATTAGAAATAACCTGAAATAAAAAATAATAATTAGATACGTATCGAAATTTTTCAGATCTGCATATTGTAGAATATATGCATAATTGTGATGAAATTGATCAAACATTTGGTTGCTATGCCAACTGATATAAGTATAAAATATCAATATTTAAGCTTTTACAAAAAATTAAATCAAATGAAACATATAAGTGCACTAATGTTTTATACAAAGTATATAGCGAATAAAATGTATTGTAAATATATCAAAGACACAAAAAAAGTACAGGTTAACCGACCCATTATAAAGCACATTATAGAGCACACTATGTTTACTGCATTAAACATAAAACTATGAAAAAAAGATTTACTTATAATTTATTATAATTTAGATATAAAATTAATAGATCTATTTGTAATAGAGTAAAGTTTGTAATAAATTTATTTAAATAAGAAAACTCTTACCGCCATGCTTAACAATAATACATGTGATTCCTAAACGACAATATAACCACGAATAGAAAAATAGAGACCGAGCATAAATTCGTGGTTTAGGCGAGGGGAGTGAAGCCACTGAGGGACGATGCGACGAGGTAAACTGTACCTAAATTTGATTGGCTGTTATATTGCGCAAGTTCACGTCAGTGGTCTAGTTTCCACCGAGGTATTAATTCGCATCTAGCGCGGCGTAGGTCCGCGGTTTCCACCGAAGTCATCGGTCCGATTCTGTTTCGGTGCGCATCGAATTTAAGGGTCGGCAGGAGCAGAGAGAAGCCTGAGAGAGGCAATGCCGGCGATTTTCGTGGG